ATATGTATGTATATATATATGTATATATATATATGTATATATATGTATGTATATATATATGTATATATATATGTATATATATGTATATATATATACATGTATACATATGTATATGCATGTATATATGTATATGCATGTATATATATGTATATATACATATATATATATGTATATATATATGTATATATGTATATATTCATGTCTATATATATATATATATGTATATAATTTATATATTAAATACAGTAAACGGATTCTTGTTTCATTGATATAATACATATACATATTGTTTTACAGCGAAAGGAAAGATATTTTGATAAGTCAAACAACAGGAGTGAAAGCAGATATTGTGCACTGCGATCGACTCAGTCTCTAAGCTCAATAGAGGTAAATTTGTTCCATTATATTACAATTAATTTCTTATTACATAAATAGAAAACACAAATTTGTAGGAGTAAAACATGTGACTGACATCAAAATTATCAATGATATATTTAATTGATTGACTGTATGATAGTAAGTTTATGTTATGTTATGTTTTATATATATATGTTCGTTTATAGTTTAGCATAAATCTAATTTCTTGGATTCTATTCTACAGAGCTCACATCGGTGTTTACCGTCTTTACTGGTGCACAAAAATCTCGATAATATAAATCGACCGGAAATGAAGATTCCTAAAGCAATCATTCCAAGAAAGGGCACTATCATGCTACACACAGATCAAATACATGATGTTAAAACAAACGACAAAGGTAAAGATCCGGCCAGCACACACATCGTCGCCGAGGTTCGGCTGACAGGGTGTACCTTATATCATAGGACGTATAGTCATATCGGAGTGTATCAATAAGCGGTGGATCGTTTTAAACGACGGTCTGTTCAACCCACAAATATGAAAACACCTACAAATGTACAAACAACCACAAATGTAACAACACACCTCCCACAAATGTAAAAATGCCCACAAATGTAACAATTAGCTCCCAAAAATGTAACAAACAGCGCACTCAAATGTAATAACGACCATCGCCCAAAATTGTCATAACGCCCACAAATGTAACAACAAAATATGATTTCGTCGCCGACAATAATAACGATTTTCTTTTAACATCGAATGTTGGAGCTAAGACTAAAAAATTGGCCAAACCGTACACTTTTTAACAGAAGCAAAACATTTTGAGTGATTGATCTAAGAGGCGTGCGAACAACAAAAACAGTGAAATATTCATTTTCTAAATATCTGGGATGGGTTAAAGAGCAAGTGTTTTAGGAGGAGTATTATGTGTCAAATTTTATGTCATTTTCGGAAAATATATCTTTAGTGGAAGAAATAGAAATATGCATATACTGAATATTTTGAAAGATAATTAACTTTCTTCGACCAGCGGTTATCAAGATACGGATGCCCTATATAATATTTTCCCACCTAATTTGTAGGTCTATCATTAAGTTTATTTGCATATTATAGGATAATGTGATTGAGGTATAATTTCTGGAATTCACATTCGTCAAGTTTTAAAAAAGTTTTTAAACACGTACATTTGTTTGTCATTTCTTCCGTAACTATATGATTATTGACAAAATATGGCGACTATCTTGATTTTTGAGCTTATTCGAGCGAATGCCATGAAACGACGGAGATTCAAAAAAATTTCTAACTACATATACCATTACATTGTGTCATGTTTTCCAGCATTTGACCCTAAATAATCTTTGACCTGAAATAACCTGAAAACTGTCACATCTGGTAAGCTTCTCCATTACATTAAAATAATAAACAATTTTTGCAGCATGCATAATGAGCATGATTAACTATCAAAATCATTATTAATTTTACCTCAAATGACCTCTAACCCCTCCCAGGCGTTTATAAATGGACTGACCCACTTTTCTCACACTTCATATATTAAACGCTGAAAACGTCATACTTCTGTCACAAAATGTACGTGTTGGCTATTTTGTGGGTCTTAGCTCCTATATTCGAAATTAAAGGAAAATTATTACATTTGTGGGTGAAGATGTCAAGTTTTGTTGTTGCATTTGTTGGCGATGATCGTTAATGCATTTGTGGGCACTGTTTGTCACATTTGTGGTGCTGGTTGTTACATTTATCGGCATTATTACATTTGTTGGCGATGTGTTTTTACAGTGGTTGTTATTACAATTGTGGGCGTTTTCACATTTGTAGTTACAACACGCTCTGTTCAAACTGCCACACAATCAGCAAAGGTGTCGCACCGTCAATAGAAGGTAGAACGTACAACTCACGCGACGCCAGTCAGTACGAATAAGTGTATTCGTTCTACGTTCTGAATAGAAAGTCCCTATTAAAACAGAGCGAAGATAGATTCGTCGGTCGACAGTACAGAAGCGCTGGCTGAATTGAACATTTTATTCAAAGAAAACCAATAGCAAATGTGTCACTAATAAAGTCTAAAGAGTTAGTTTTCTGAACTTTAATATTTTACAGGGTACGATGAGAAAAAACGATTTAAGCCTGTGCCAATTTCACACAAAAAGCTGATGAATAAGCAAAAAGAGATACTTGGCAAAGTATTCAGACCTGCAAATATCCCAGAACAGGACCTGGTTAATTTTCCTAGAACTGTTTTAGAGCTGAGTCACCAGATTGTAGAATTCGAGGTAAAGATCACTATACTAGGGTACCACAAATCAACAGCGTAATTCTATGTAAACTTGTGAGGCATGCGCGTATTCTTCATGGCCCAACAATAACACTTTTTGATTAGTCGGATTTTAAGTCTGATTGAAACATCAGAAAGGTATATGAGCTGTAGTTTAAATTTACACATTGTACATTATCATTTAACATATTGCAGAGTGGTTTTGATATGTGAAATAAATTGGAAGTTTGGCACAGCGTCTCCACTCTGAACTTAGTGGTCGAGAGTTCGGAGCACATGCTGCCCATACCCCGTCTTGCACTGTTGACGGGCTGTGAAGTAATTTTGCACTATGTTTGAGCCCTGGGGCGAGTACTTAATGGCTTATAAATATTTTTTTTAATACAGTACAATGAAAAATATGTATATCATTTTGACCACTTTTCATCATTAATGATGCTAACATCAGGTCACTTATTAACTTAATAATACAAACAATAACCAATGGTGCTATAATGGTAGTTATAAACTAGTGATTATGAAGCTTCCCTTACCAAGGTTCAAAACCAAGGAACTGCACTCCATAAGTTTATAATGATTTTTTTTTGCGTAAATCACATTGTCAATATGTTTCTCGTGTGAAAAAAATTTCCACCTATATGTAAGATTGATATATTTGCTCTTGGTAATCTCATTGGTTCATGTGAAAACGTAAAAATGACAATGAGCAGGCTAACTTGGTCAAAGTACTGTAAAAAAAAATCAAAAAAAAAAATCAGTAAACTAAATTGCTAAAGTATTTAGAAATAAGCTGAAAAATATACATAAAGAAATTTTGTAAAATTATTCCAGAACAGTATTTGCCTGACAAAATATATTTTTTTTCTTTTTTAGCGTAAACACACCAGAGATCTACCACCACTGCCAAGACGACAGACCGTCGAAATGGGTCAGCAGACATTGACTAAAGATTCAACTACAAAGGATAAACTACTAATGCACTCTTAAATGAGGCATCACAATGATTCAATGTAAAATGAGCAGAACTGACATGAGCAATAGACACTGAGATAATAAAACTGTGTATGAAAATACTGTTTTCATGTCTCCAAAATTCAATTATGAAATGACGCGTTCTCAATACCTAAAAATCGAGCATTAAGGCAAATAAATATTACAGATACTATCAAAGAACATAAATAGCAGAAGAATGAGTTCTTTGCGTAGTTTACATTAAATTTGATGGAACGTCCACCCTCTCTAGAATGGAGAAAAATAATTTCATGGAGTGGAGAAATTAATGAAAACAAACGAACCAGAGAGTTATCCAACCGATCCAACCAAGTAAAGATATAGTGCCACCGCTCGAATGGAGGAAAATTGGGTAGTTGCTGAATACAACGCGTTCAGCTGAGGGGGCGTGGCTTCGTATGTTGGCGTCATGCATAACTTCAGCTATGTTTTATTAATCTCCTCGACAAACTGTGGGCCCTGTCTGTAATCACACAGCATTGCAAAATACAGTCCGTACAACTAATTCCTTCATGGCACAACCAATGTAAGAAAAAATAAGATTCAGAATCTTACTACGATTAGATAAATGGACTGTCCCACTTTTCTCACACTTCATATATTAAACGCTGAAAACGTCATACTTCTGTCACAAAATGCACGTGTTGGCTATTTTGTGGGTCTTAGCTCCTATATTCGAAATTAAAGGAAAATTATTACATTTGTGGGTGAAGATGTCAAGTTTTTTTGTTGCATTTGTTGGCGATGATCGTTATTGCATTTGTGGGCACTGTTTGTCACATTTGTGGTGCTGGTTGTTACATTTATCGGCATTATTACATTTGTTGGCGATGTGTTTTTACAGTGGTTGTTATTACAATTGTGGGCGTTTTCACATTTGTGGTTACAACTCGCTCTGTTCAAACTGCCACACAATCAGCAAAGGTGTCGCGCCGTCAAACAATTGACGACGACATAGAAGGTAGAACGTACAACTCACGCGACGCCAGTCAGTACAAATAAGTGTATTCGTTCTACGTTCTGAATAGAAAGTCCCTATTAAAACAGAGCGAAGATAGATTCGTCGGTCGACAGTACAGAAGCGCTGGCTGAATTGAACATTTTATTCGATGAAAACCAATAGCAAATGTGTCACTAATAAAGTCTAAAGAGTTAGTTTTCTGAACTTTAATGTTTTACAGGGTACGATGAGAAAAAACGATTTAAGCCTGTGCCAATTTCACACAAAAAGCTGACGAATAAGCAAAAAGAGATACTTGGCAAAGTATTCAGACCTGCAAATATCCCAGAACAGGACCTGGTTAATTTTCCTAGAACTGTTTTAGAGCTGAGTCACCAGATTGTAGAATTCGAGGTAAAGATCGCTATACTAGGGTACCACAAATCAACAGCGTAATTCTATGTAAACTTGTGAGGCATGCGCGTATTCTTCATGGCCCCAACAATAACACTTTTTGATTAGTCGGATTTTAAGTCTGATTGAAACATAAGAAAGGTATATGAGCTGTACTTTAAAATTTACACATTGTAGTTTACATTAAATTTGATGGAACGTCCACCCTCTCTAGAATGGAGAAAAATAATTTCATGGAGTGGAGAAATTAATGAAAACAAACGAACCAGAGAGTTATCCAACTGATCCAACCAAGTAAAGATATAGTGCCGCCGCTCGAATGGAGGAAAATTGGGTAGTTGCTAAATACAACGCGTTCAGCCGAGGGGGCGTGGCTCCGTATGTTGACGTCATGCATAACTTCAGCTATGTTTTATTAATCTCCTCGACAAACTGTGGGCCCTGTCTGTAATCACACAGCATGGGCCCTCGTCGGGGAGGTCTGGCTTCTCTACCACACCCTGCCGGCTAGAAAAACCACAATTCGTCGGGGAGAAAAAATGTAATGTATTTTCCACATATTAGTAGACACCAAAATCGACTAAGTAAGCCTTTCAAACCCAAAATTGTTATTTTTTTTGGGTGGGGGGGACGACCCGTGGAACACTTTCGACGGATATTGAGGGACGCCCGACCACGCCCACTTTTTTTTTCCGTCGGGGACCTCGGACCCCAGTCATATTCTGGCGCCACCACTGTACTACTTAGTCTATGGATTTTCCCAATCTTAATCCTATGAACAAATTATTTTACTGGAAGAGAAAATAGGCCTGATAAATAAAAATTTCAACTTTTACAACATTGACTGCTGAAGTTAAGATTTCTTTTTAGTGTTCACTGCTTTGGAACAATATTGCCGGCTATATTACAGAAAAAGAGAAACGGAACCGAATGTTAATATATGCCTATGTAATTTGAGTAAATATATTTTCCAATGTCGTGTATATTTGTATTGTATAAATGTTATGATAAGAAAGTATAATACATAGGCCTACTCCAAGTTTTGAAATGCACGCCATCGTGTTTGGATTCAACTTTTAGCGGTAGGGATTAGGCCTTGAAATGAATCCCAACACGATGGCGTGCATTTCAATACTGTGAGTATGTAGTATACTTTCTTATCTGAGATTAGTCAGTGGACCTTTCGATTAATGTTTTGTATGCGCCTATTCAGTGCAGATTCTTCAGTAGCCTAGGCGAATCTTACAACAGACTCTGTATAGGCCTAACTTCAAGTAAATGAGGCATAGGCCTAGACGGACTGCTGCGGGTTGCTGGACGCACAATCTAGGAGGCCCAGACTACTACTAAAGAGACCTCCTGGTCCGACCTAGCCCAGGCTTAGTTGGAGGGAGCCTAGACCTACGAACGTCCTTACTACTTAGGCCTATCGTCTGTAATAGACTCGATCGTCCCTCACCAACCCACCCGTAGCAGCAGCACAAGAGAAAACTAAGCTAAGCCTCAGCCTGCTCGCCTTGCTAAATTAACATTGGTCAAACCGTGGTCACCCAGTGTATTGTGTTGTTTTTTGGTAGACGGCATAATTATACATGACGTCACCATATACAAGCCACTCCCCTCGGCTGAACCCGTTGTATTTAGCAACTACCGGAAAACTGCTATCATGAACGCCTCATAGGGCGTTCCACTATAGCGCGAACTGCTCTATCTTTTGCTATTTATTATCTTGTTATTACCATGTTTCAGAGTCACCAACGTGAAAGAGACTGTAAAACCACGATCGTCCATACTTTGGGCCCAATCGTCTGGAAATATCTCAGGGGACCAGATCGTCTGTCACCCGGTCGTAGCAGTAGCACAAACATATGCACAAACTAATCCTCACCTCGCTCGCTAACGTCACATTGGTCACACGGTGTATATGTGTGATGCTTTTAGGTAGACGGTATTATATTATACATGACGTGTCACCATACAAGCCACGCCCCCTCGGCTGAACCAGTTGCATTTAGCAACTACCGCCTAGCCCAGCCTGAGCAGCTCTAGCTAGTGTCAAAATGAGCCGCGCATGCACACTGGTAACTACGTCGCGCGACGTATTCTGGAAATTTTCATTTCAAATTTCACGAAAATGGTCTGTAGATAATAGTTTTTGCATAGACAAAGTTGAAAAGGAAAGCAAGTATGGATGACAGATGAAATTCTAAAACTGATTGCAAATTGCTCATATTCAATTACATTTATGCTAATTTCAAGATCTTCCAATCTGTTCGATTTCTTTCATTGTATCTCATAATTATTATTAGATAATAATATAAAAGGAATATGAAACTTTTTAAAACTTAATTTGTAAAAAAACAAAAAAACAAAACATATGAATATGCTATTTCACTAATGACTGGCCGAGTGGTTGGTACACTTGCCTATCATACCCATGGCAGAGTTCAATTAATGGCTAGGGCGACTCTCAGTTCACTTACCAGTAATTGAGTACGTACCTGGTTGCAACATACGGGTTAGGTGTAAAAAAGCGGCGAAGAAAGAAAGAGACCATCGTAAATCACTTCTGATTCAGAGTCTTAGTACGTTCGATAACGAATACGGGACTACCATTGCTTTTTTACAATGATTGACATGAATAATTCTCTGTAGATATAACTCTTTCGCCTGCAGTCAGTACTGTAACTCGATTAGTGTTAGTACGAAGTCGTGGTTATCTACATAAGGTGAAGTTATCTACATAAGGTGAAGTAGTGTACGTGTGAACGCTAATGGAGGTAGGGTACCTTAATTTCACCGGAATGATACAGAGTTAAGATGTCTTATGTAAGAACACAACATGTCATGAACAACACCATACCCCCATGAACATCCCAATCCCTTACGGTTCTTAAAATTTTATCGTTGTGTAGTTGTAAAACGTAAGCAGTTACCTTTAAACCCTCATATCTAATTGATATAAAGAAAGGATCTATATATTTTTAAAAGGTTGACACAAACTTTCTTTGCAGACATTGACTTGACATTGATTGATAGTTATCATTTTTTTTCAAAAGGATTAGCAAGTTACCGACATTATTACGTTACCAGCTTCTTTAGAAAGGTCATGATCATTTCCGTAAATTTAAGCACTTGTAGCCTACATATCATTTTTTATGCATACAAAAACAGTCCTGTTTACTTACCACATCTCACCAAGAGACAAATACTATTTCAAACAATACACTATCGTGTACAGAAGGCAATAGAACTCAACACACTGCTGCTATAGAAATGGATATTGAAGCAATCTTGAGAAGCCTTAACTCATGGGGTAGGTACCAGGTTGTATTAATGATTAGCGTCAACATATATGGGACAATCCTAGCTGCTATCCACCTGATGTCCTTCATATACATCATGGATACACCTTTACATTTCTGTAAACCTTATGAAGGATTCAACATGTCTGAAGCGATTCCAATTAGCAAGACATACAACAACGAGATTACTGAGTACGAGAGCTGCTCGATATATAAATTAGAAAACGGAACATTGATGAATGAGACTACAAGTTGCCCGAATGGAAATGAATATTTGCTGAGTGAAGGAGAATCAACGGTCGTTAATGAGGTTGGTTTAAGAATGATTGTTAATTACTTAGTAGTCACAAAATTAGTCTAGTGGTCCCAAGCATATAGATACACAAAGTAGATGATGAATAGAGTAGGTTCTCATGAAAGTGCCTTTTTAAGGAGAACAAGAAAAAAGAAAACAATTTCATGCTTAAAGTACCAAAATTGACAAGATTATTTTATACAAAGTGGAGTTAAGTATAACAAACCTGAATGAATTACAACATTCACAAAGGTTGCAGTTTGAATATCATTTTAAATGTTATATCCTATTGTATTTTGTATGTTCTCTCTGGTGTTAAATGGGGGTTTATTAGACATTTCGGATCATTCAATAAGTACTCTGCTCCTTTAATTATTTTTTTTAAAATACACTTAGTATTATTGGGTGTAAAAGGCAATAAGTAATGAATTCAATTTAATAAAGTAAAGTAATAAGATCAGTGCTCGTTCAATCTTAACTAATGCTATACCCTACCGTATCCAACGTTAAGTAAAATAACTCCATGGGTAAACCTACTGCTATTAATGTATTGTAGATATATATTGAGTCGTAAAATATGAAAAACATTTTGGTTTACTAATATTTTATTTTTAACTTAGCTTGGGTTAGTATGTGAAAATATGTTAATGGCAAACACTGCCATGTCGGTGTACTTCTGTGGTGTTCTCCTTGGATCATTAATTTGTGGGCTAACCTCGGATTACCTTGGAAGAAGAAATGTGTTTTTAACGGCATCCATTTTACTTGGAATTACTGGAATAGGTCTTACCTTTACCGAATCGTATTTTACATTCTGTGTGGTTTGGTTTCTTACTGCGATCGAAGAACAGGTAACGTAACATAATATTGTTTATTTTGTTTACATTCACATGAATTAAATATTCACAATATTAATGTAAATGTAGTTGTAATGCCAGCAACCATTGTTTTTTTTTTTTACATAATACATAATATATAATATAGTGAATATAATGTTTATTTTAGAAATCCAGTGTTCGTCTTAAAAATAGACAAAATTGTTTATTTTGTTTACATTGACATACATTAGATCATTAGTGTAAATGTAATCGTACAAACACCAGCAATCTATAGTTTCCTTGACATGCACAATATAGTCTGTTGTCTTATGTCATATTTTTTAACTTTGTCAATTTTTTGGGTAGATTCTTGGCAAACATGTCTAAACATATCTAAAAAATACACCGTTTTTTTTATTCACTTCTATGGCCTCCATTTTGAATTTCAAAATCGCCGCTGCCGAAAATTAGTTTTTAACAAAAAAAATTGCAATTCGATCATCGTTATTCATTTATATATCATACAATAGTCATTTTATTTTATCTGATATCATATAATGGGATCAATGATGCATTGGGAAGAAAATAAGAGCACAAAAAATAACCCTCTCCCAGAAATCTTGCTCTCCCACACATCTCCACTGGATATTCTTTTGCAATTAAAAAAAAAGTTTTTCTCAAATACTCACAAAATTGCCACATATCACTATATTTTGTCATCTGAATCTCCCTAACTTAATCACTGAGCACTGGCACTTAAAACTTCGCCCCTTAATTCTCCCTGCCCCACCACCCCGTCTCGGGCCAGTCCCCCTCCCCAAACTTCTTTGAAAATTAAAAAATCGAGATAAAAGAGGAAAGGTATATTCAAATTTAGGCCTAAGACTGTGAGTGCAATTTCCGGCCATCTAGTTGCCATAGCCACAACATTTTGTTCCTCGGTTTCCACAATGTTGGACAGGGGAAGATTTAGGGAGCGGAACGTTCCCCCTGTTTTCCCACTGTCATTTTTTTTTTGTGTGTGTTACCAGTGAAAATACAAAATCGCATACAAATACTAAGTGTAACAGCATGTACTGTACATC